AAAAATTTTTTGTCAATGTTTCAGAGGGATGTCCCCCCTTTTTATTGTCTTTTTTTGAATAAAAGGATCTTTGTACATCTACTCTATTCATTTCCGAAATTTTTTTTTATTTTAAAAATGCTTAGCATATCCATATTTGTTGCTCAATTTAAATGTTTGTAGTTGTAAAATAATATTTTATTTTTTTCTGTTCTTTTAGACGTCGGAATTTTTTATTTAAATTATTTATACAGTAAAACATGCAGTATAAGGGGATACTCCTATTTTGAGAGGTTCTTATTTTGCGACGTATTTATTAATGAATAGACCTCTATTTAAGGGACACACTTTAAAAGTTGGTTAACTAAGGGTTGAGGGAGGGAGCCCTAAGCAATACTTGCCCCCTATTTAAAGACCTCTGTTTACGATACGCTCATTATATGAGACTCTTAGTTTGAAATGTCCATATTAAAGGATACACCTCTATTTAACCGACACCTTTTTAAAGTTTGGTTGACTAAGGGGTGGGAGGGAACCCCAAACAATACTCGCCCCCTATTTAAACACCCCTGTTTAAGATACGCTCATTATAAGAGATACCCCTATTTTGTGAAGTCCTTATTTCAAAATGTCTTTATTAGAGGATACACCTCTATTTAATAGACACCTTTTTAAAAAGTTGGTTGACTAAGTGGTGGGAGGGAACCCCAGGCAATGCTTGCCCCTTATTTAAACACCTCTGTGTAAGATACGCTCATTATAAGAGATACTCCTATTTTGTGAAGTCCTTATTTTAAAATGTCTTTATTAGAGGATACACCTCTATTTAAACGACACCTTTTTAAAAGTTGGTTGACTAAGGGGTGGGAGAGAGCCCCAAGCAATGCTTGCCCCCTATTTAAACACCTCTGTTTAAGATACGCTAATTATAAGATACTCTCATTTTGCGTGTCTTTATTATTATAGGAAACACCTCTGTTTAAACGACACCTTTTTAAAATTTGGTTGATTAAGGAATGGGGGAACCCCAGGCAATACTGGCCCCTATTTAAACACCTCTGTTCAAGATACGCTCATTATAAGATACTCTCATTTTGCGATGTCTTTATTATTGAATACACCTCTATTTAATAGACGCTTTTTGAAATTTGTTTATTTACTGGGTGGGGAACCCTTAGAAATACCTCTATTTAAGATATGTACACCTCATTATAAGATACCTCTCACTTTAAAATACGATTTTCTTTATCTTTGTTCATCCCTAATTTAGTCTCAATTGGGCATCCATAGATTTCGTATTGACAACTCTCATTTTAACATACACTCTATCTAAGGTACCTCTCATTATAAGAATTTATTTTTTTCAAAAAAATTTTTTTGCAAGTAAAGTCCGAGACTTAAAAATTTATTAATTATTTTTTTCCTTCAAAAAAAAATTTTTTTTTCTTTATTTACTAATGTGCTTTTATTAAAATTTTAAATTAATTTATATAAAAAATTCTAAATATTTGTACATTTTTAATCCCTTAAAAGTTTTTTGTATTTTTTTCTAAATAAAAATGTCATCATTAATTCATTATGTATTTTATGTACTTTTTATTATTAAACACATTTATGTATGTACATACAATATTAAAGAACAAAAGTAAATAAAATTAATATTAAAGCTCGTTAAAATTTTTCAGAATTTCAACCCCTAAAATTGTTAAAAAATTAATTATATATAGTCAACCTCTCAATAAATACACTCATTGGAACCAGGGGTGAGCTCATTGCGTCTTGCGTTATTTGCGTTAAATCCTCGCGTCGCGTTTTGCATCTTGCGTTTTTTGAAAGTGTCTCTTGTGCTTACCCCTGATCGGCGAATGAAGATACTTTATTTTACAAACGAGGTAGAGGTTCAGAAAACCCGAAACCTGACCTAAAAAATCTGCCAAAAACTCAGACTTAAACCCCTACCCGTCTTTTTTCGTAAATTAATTTTAAATGCTGTTAGGGGGGGGGAATATTGAGAATTCAAAGAAGGATTAGGTGGGGGAAAAGTCCCTTAAACCCGCTTAATTCACCAATGTCCTTCAACTCCACTTTTATCGTCCTTAATCCATTAAACCCAGTTTTGGCCTTTATTTCTGAATACACCTTAATTTTACATAAAATATTTCCTCCCTATAGGGATATGTAAAATCGAGGTATTTCAAGGAAAATTTAAAAAAATTTTAAAAAGTCACTTCCTTTTCAAGAAATAGGCATTTAACTTGATAATAATTTAATTTAACAGAAAAAGAGAAAAGTTTCAAGAAAATAACCAAAAATACTAAATAATTAATATGTAAATTTAAAAAATAATTATTAACTAATTTAATGAGGAACAGAAAAAAAGAATTTTAAAAGAACAAAAAAATTTTTTTCTTGGAAAACATTGAAAAAAATTAACTATTTTTGTTGCTAATAATTAACACATATCAAAAAAATTTTTTTCGAACATTTTTGGTTCGTTTTTTAATTTTTCATTATCCGTTGTTCCTCTTTATTATAAAATAGCTCTTTAAGAATTTTTAAAAAGGTGTTTGGTCAAAGGCTGGAGATGTTGTTTAAGTGAAAGCTTAAAAACACCTCATTATAAGACACGATTTTTTTCAGTTCGAAGGGGTATCTTTTAATCAGGAACCTCGAAACCGAAACTCAGTCATCAACCATAAACCTCAATCTCGGACAACAACAAAAATTGCCCCTCGATCTCATCTCTGCCAGCCTCAGAAATTCAATCCCCCAATCCTCAATCCCAATCCTCCATTTCTCCAATCCTCCTAGGCAATCCATCCTCAATCCCAATCCTCCATTTCTCCAATCCTCCTAGGCAATCCATCCTCAATCCTCCTTTTTTAAAAATAAAACTCAATCTCGCGCTATTATATTTTATAGTGAAAGATTTGTGAAACATTTTTGTCTACTTCCTTTTTTAATTATTTCTATGTCCTATTAATTATCTAATTGTATTGACCTTTTAAAAGGTCCTTCAAGTTAATAAATAATTTAGCATAGATTTTCCTCTCATTTTCATGCCATCCTTGGTTGAGGTCCTCGGACTCCTGTACTTTTAAAAAATTAAATAATTAATCAAAAAAAATTTTTTTATATCCTTATAAGAGACAAATAAAAAAAATTTTTTTATTTATTTTATTTAATGTCAAACACGCAATTATACATTAGCTTTTTTAAATTAAATTTATAAAATAAAAAAATAAATATTTATTAGAGAGAGAGAGTACATTTAAACAAGCACACCTAAACAATTTTTTAATAAAATAATTTTTTTATTAAATACTTTTATTATTTTATTTTTCTATTTAGTAGTTTACACGCAATTTTATTTTTAAAAAATTAATTTTTTTTTTAATTTAAAATTTTATTAAAAATATTTTTTAGTTACCCACGGGGTAGGGGAGACAAAAAAACAGGTAGAACAAGGAGGTGAACTTAAATGAGGGTATTTTTAACCATCTAGGGCACCCAAAACGGATAATAACTTTAAATATTTAATTAATAAGTATACCCTACCAATATAATTAAAAAATTGGTTGGTTGTTTCTTAGGTTAATTAAAAAGTTGGAGACAAATATAAGAGTTTCCTTTAGATCGGGCTTCAATGGAATGGGCAGGAATGGGATCTCTTCTGCACAGAGATGCCACGGGTTACCAGAAACCCAATTTTCGGCCCGAAACTGAGCAACCAAACCCGACTTTTTTCTCACCTCGTGGCACTCCTGGTATGTGGCAGGAATAGGGTCTTTTCTGCTTCACTCTTCCGTTTTTTAAAATACGGCTACGGCAGCAGCTCCCGTCCTTTATTATCCTACCATTACCACCATTGTAATTTTCGTATTTTACTTTTTTGAAAAATATTCTGTTAGACTTGGGGTAGGTCGCACCCTAGGGCATAACACTTATTAAATTATAATTGTTTACTCATTAAAACATTAACTAAACTACTTAAAGGCTTAATCAGTATCTCATTTGACAACTTTTAATGGCTTTACTAAAAAATTAAAATCGACCTTAGTAAACTTTAAAAAAATTTTTTTTGACCTTTTAAATTTATCAAGTTACCTCTTTACACGCAATTTTAATTTAAAAATTTTTTAAATTTTTCCTGCTCAAAAAATATTTAATTTTCATTAAAATAAAATATATTTCTTCACTATCTACTTACATATTTTACTTTTAATTTATATTAAAAAATGTAATGTCTGTATGTGTTTTCAATATAAATTTTGAATTATTTATTAAGTCTTCTCTACACATTTTTTTATTTTTTTTTTAAAAAAAGATTTTTTTCTGAATTTATTTTTTTCCTAAAATTTAATTTATTTGGAAGGAGAATACTAAAAATATTTTTTTTATCTTTTTTATTTTTCTTCCTTCTTTTGACTTTAAAACTTGGAAGAAAAATGGGTGGTCTACACAATATAAATTATTTTAATTAACCTAAAAAAGTTTTATTTTTTAAGAAAAAAAATTTAAAGGATTACTAAGCATATCGTCACTTTCCATTGACGTTTTGACCTGAAAAAAATTTTAAAAATTTTAGATGGGTTGAGGACCCTATGAAGGGAGAGGGAGGAGGGGAGGGTGGTCTTTTGAGGAGGCCTCCCCACCTTACCCAGGACTTTGAGGTGGAGAGGGAAGCCCTTTGAGACTCCACCCTTGCCACGTTTTGATGCCCTTTGCTACGTTTCTACATATTGAAGATTTTTGAGTTACTAAAAAGACTGGGCATTTTTGTGTCAAGAACTCAACGTAGAGCTTAGCTCGTATTTTTCCCAGATGCGCCTCGAAAAGTTGTAGGACACATCCACAACTTTCCAGGCGCTCCCGACAACCGTTCTGCTCAAATTAATCGTTGAACTCCTCAAAATAAGGATCTTTTATTAACTTATCTTTTTTAAAGAAAATTAATGGAAATTAAATTTAAATTAAATTAATTATTTAAAATCTTTTAAAAATTAAATTTAACAACAACAATGAAATTAATAGAGGAATTAAATACTCCAAACTGTACTTATAGATATGGTTAGTTATTTTAATTATTTTCAAAAAATTTCAAAAAATACTATCGAATCCAGGAAGAAATCGAGGCGGGGTTTGGAAGATTTCTCGAATCGGGTTTCTGTTTCGAGTCGAAAAAAAGTCCCGGTTTCTGGTAACCCTGTGACCTCCCTGATAGAATCTCTCATTATAATTTCTCTTCTGTCCTGCTCCAAAGTAGGCGAAGCAAAAGTTCCTTATATCGAGTTATCCGTTAAATCGAAGGGTCACTATTTTAAGATTTTCTTTCCTCCATATTGTAGGAATTAGAATCTAAAAACCCAATGGAAAAATCTTTTTTCTGGGAGGAGCTATGAATTTTTGAAGACAATGAAATAATGAATTTTTTAAAGATTTAAACGACAATTTAATCAAATTAATCTCTCTATGGCTAGACGGCCCAATTACTATAATCGCTGCACTCCTAGCTTTTGTGGGATGTCATTTTGCTGTTAGATTTTTGGCTAGAGCTGGGCTTAATAGAGACTTGACTGCTGGTAATTCATTTAATTTTAACTTATCGTTGATATTTTTGAAAATTGTGGTAAAAATATAGGCCAAGATTTTATTATTTTTCTATTATTTTTCCTACAAATTAAGAAAGAAATGGAGATTAAACTGAATTTATACAAGAAGGGGGGTTAAGCTTTATTAAGACATAAGCAGTGCCCCGTTACTTCTATCGGTAGAACAGCTGTGTGGGCTAATCGGTTAGCAATAGGTGCCAAAAAGCTCGCAGTTTCCTGCCAGGGTCTAAGCACTTCCCTCTTAAAAAATCATTTGACTTTGATTTTAATTTAATTTACAGCTTTATACACTCTTTGTATTTGTGATTCTTTCCTTATTTCAATGGTTGTAGTCTACCATTCATTAGAAGCTTGTTCAATTCTCTTATTGGGCACTAATGTTATGTGGGACGAACAAAGCAGTGTTGTAAGTTTTTAATTTTATTTGGAGTCCACAATCGAAGAAAAATTTTTCTAAATTTTTTGAAGAAAAATTTAGAATTTTAGACCCGATTTTTTACACCCAAAATTAATTTTAAATTTTAAGCTAATAACTCATGGAATTGTTAGTGCAGCGACTACTTCTTCTGTTAGTTTTTTTACTTGTCTTATTTGTTTGCCTCGTTACGAGGGTGAAAATGAGCAATACCTATATTTAAGATATGTACTCCTATTAAGAGACCCTTTTAAATTTGATTGACCAATATATTGGGGAAGGGGCTTCTATTTAATAAACACCTCATTATAAGATACCCACAATATTAGACACACCTCAATTTAAGGGACGCTCTTTTTTATTTTGTTTGTCCACAAAATAGAGGCTATCCCTATTTAAGTTAAACGATACCTTCTATCTAAGAAACACCTCATTATAAGAGACACTTTTTAAGACCCAAGGGTGTACTCACAAGAGAGCCTAATGGATTACTTTTTACTTTTCCAGACTTTACTTGTTGTCTTCATAACATTTCGACGTTTCTTGGTTGTTTGGTGGCCTTTAAAATATGCCAGAATACGCGAACCTAAAAGAAACGATCAACTTCAAAAATCATTTTCTTCAATGGAAGAAGCTTGCACAGAAAATAGTGGAATATTTAAAAGTGGGGGTCTAGCTAGAAGTTTCTCCAAAAGATTTTTGTCTACGTCGACAACTTACAAAAAACCGAATATACGAAAAATTGTGCATCCATTTATTTTTCCAAGTAATTTGCTTAAAATATAGTAGAACCTCTTTATAAGATACCCCAATCTTGGGTACACCTCTATTTAAGGGACGTTCAGTTAGAATGTGGTTGAACCAAGGGGTTTGGGAGTTGCTTAGGCGATACTTCCTATTTAAGATACATACCCCTTATTATAAGAGACACCTCGTTATAAGAGACCCTCACTATAAGCGACCCCTCAATATTAAATACACCTCTATTTAAGAGACTCTTTTAAACTTGGCTGTTCACTGGGTGGGAGAGTTGTCTAAGCGATACCCTCTATTTAAGATACACCTTGTTATAAAGGATACCTCGTACAATTTTTTAACACCAAGGTGTTAGGCCTGACTTAGAATTAATTAATTTTAATATTTTTAAAGTTTGTGTTTTGCTCTTTGCTTTCTTAATCAACTTCTCTGTATTTTTTGAATTTGAGTTGGTTCCTTGTTTTGCTTTTGCTCATGACACTTTTTCTATGCAATTATTTCCAACAGAATTGAGGCAATCCAAAACTGTTGGTTTTCTTTAAAATATTCAAAATTGAGGGACATTTTGCAAAATTTTTATGGCTTAAAATTTAAATAGGGGATTAAAAAAAATTAATTTTATTCTGAGTTCCTTCATAAATATGTCACAAAATTCACTTTTAAGGCCGAAAACAAATCCTTTTTGTTGCGCATTGCCCCTATTCCGTAGTCCATTTCGTTAAAAAAATTAAAAAATTTTTTTAAATATTGGAGTTTTTGAAAAAAAGGCTTCATGGCATCATTATTAGCCATGAAATTTACGAATTTTGAATAAAATGATTTTAATTCTTTAATATGACATATTTTTAAAGTTCAAAAAGCCAATTAACGTATTAACCAGGGAAACTCTAGAGAAAAAAAAAATTCCCCTGGAAAGATTATTAGCAGTGATGGATTATTAATAGAGAGGGGGTACTTATGTATCTGGGAGGGGGGGGGGCAATTAATAACTGTCGGACCTCTTTCCTAAATACTCTATATTAAATATGCCTCAATTTTAGATACGTTTTTAACTTACTCTCTATTTAATAGACACCTTATTATAAGAGACTGATTTTTTCAGCCCGAAAAGGGTATTTAAAAATGAGGTCTGAGTAGTAAAACTAAATTTAAAAAATTTTTTTAAAGTATTATATGTTGCGCACAACAATAGCAATGGTCACACAAACAATTGGCCCAATACTTTTGATTACTTTTTTAACAGCGATTACAGAATATAAAGTTGCTGTTTCATTAAAAGCTAGAAGAATGTTTGTTCTGATTTTTTTAATTTCTAGAAAAAAATTTTTTTAAGACTTTTTGAAGCCCAAAATAGAAGTCGTTCTGTTGTTGCTTTGGAGGAATTGAAAGAAAAAGTTTCTAGAACTGTTTCGATTTTTATTGCTATTAAATTTTTAATTTTAAGGTGGGTTTTTAAACTGTCGAATCTCAATATAAGAGACCCCCCTAATAGTCTCTTATAACGAGCTGCATTCTAAATAGAGGGTATCCCTTCAAACCTCATAGAAGGGATCTCTTATAATGAGCTCATCTCTTATAATGAGCCGTAGCTTATATAGAGGGTATCTCTCAGGCAGTTCAAATACAGTCAAACCTCACTATAAGACCCTTAAAATTCTATCTTATAATGAGTTCATTAAACGCTAGAAGGACAACCAATTTTTAAAATTGTCTCTTAAATAGAGGTGTATCTAGTATTGGGTCTATTTATAAATGATGCCTTTCGTGGGTAGTTTCGCCCCCGACAGGTATTTATTTCGTTTCTAGCAGAAATCGTTAGGGCTCAAAACGGTCAATTTTACTAATTGACCATTTTGAGCCTTTAGTTCCCCAAAGACACTGAAATAAGGGACCGAAAAATGAGACCCTATTCTAATTTTAAAATTTATTTTTTAAGATCGTTACCAATTTTCTTCGATATTTATGAAACATTTTATGGAATCGACTCTTTTGGAATTATTTTAAGTATATTGGTTAGATTATCCGATTTTGGAGTTGTATTAAACTCTGCTACAAATTCCTTCGCTTACTTTGGCAAAACAGAATTTTTTGCTAACAGATTAAAAAGTAAATTGTTAAAAGAAAGACAACATATAATGGTAGCTAAGGTAGGAAATTATTTAATTAATTAAAAAAGGAATTATTTTAAGTACTCCTTTTCCTATAAAAATAAATTTAATAAAAGAAAGAAGGGATTTTGTCCAATTTACCAGGGATGGGAGGTTGAGAAAAAGTCGGGTCGGGTTTCGGGTAACCGTCCCAACCTGTAATTTACCGTTCAATCAAAATTTTATATCCTTGTCGTCAAAGAGTTGGCGGTTTCCTGGGAAATCCTCGGGTATCCGGAACCGATATCTGAACCGAAAATTTTCTGGTATCCGGACTAAAGACCAGAGTGGGAGTGTTTACGAGAATCGAGGCCTCGAAAAATTCTCTATCTCGATGACCGAGATCTCATCATTTTCCATCGATATCTCATCTCGATCCGGCCTCTAATCCGGACTTTCTTTGGTTAAGGGCTATCATAGTCCATGAGAGGCTGATTTGACCCATAGATTTAATAAGACCCAAAAAGTTTTGTAAATAAAAAAATATATATTTAGATGTTACCTCGTAGAAAAGCAAATATTGTAAGTAAATATTGTGTGTTTAAGAGTGTTTTCCAAGTTTTTTGTCTTACTAACATTTTTTTATTCTTTAATTTAATTTTAATAAATTTATAAATCTCTATTTTTTAAAGGCAGCTTCTGCTTGTTTAATCACTGGAATACCACCAAAATATTTGCCTAAACAAATTATTAGTTCTAGCCATATAAATAAAGGATTGAATCTTTCTGATATTGGTCTGATTTCAAAAATATTTTTTAGCAACCTTTATATAAGATACTCTCATTATAAGATGCACCTTTATTTAAGAGACAATTTTAGATTTGTTGGGATACTGGGTAGAAGTAGCTACTCAAGTTACAGCCTCTATCTAATATAAACCTCAATATAAGATATACCTTTATATAAGATGCTCCCATTATAAGGCACACTTCTATTTAAGAGGCGTTTAATAAAATTTGGTGGTCATGGGTTGATGAAGCTATCCAAACGATGCCTTCTAGCGATATCTTATATTTAGTTCACTCCTCCCTAATTTTCACTTAGTTTGACATCCAGAGATTTTATTAAAGCTTTCATTTTAACTTAAACTCTTTTTTATCAATGGACTTATTAGTTTAAAAAACAACCTCACTGTAAAATTAAATTTCCCCATACTCCAAAGGTATACGAGTCCAACCTTTACTTTCCTCAATTTTACTCAATATAAAATATTTTTTTATTTTTCAGTTCGTCGTCGTAATCAACGAAAAACCCTCAGTTACTTCTCCCGTGACTCCCCCAACAACTCTCTCTCAACTTGTGGTTCTCCTTCAGGCACCCCCTTACTTCGAAGTAGCCACTTTCTTTCTCTTCGGAACGGCTCTGCTGTAGTCCACACCCACCCATTAATTAAACGGCTAGAATCTCCTTTGGCTACAAACAATTTTAAAATTAAAAAAGAGGAAGAAGGAAAGGTGTGTGAAAAATTTAATGAATTTGGGAATATTGTGGAAACTTGTAATGATCCGACAACAACAAATTGTTTAATTGAATTGGCAGAAAATGGGGAAGGAAAGGAAGGGAATGGTCCTTGAAATTAATTTTTAATATATTTTTTTGATCTCAATTATTGCTTAAAAATAATTATTTTTGAACACCCAAAGAAATAGCTACTTTTCAGAAGAACAACCCTTGTCTTTCAGCTAGTCTTGTTTTTAAGCCTACAGGACGAAAAACGGGCGGGACCATGACCTAATCAAGATGGCTCGTTTCGATCTTTAAATCAGTAAACCATGCCAGGGTGGGTTGGGGTGAGAAAGAAGTCAGATCGGATTCGGGCCTGGGTTTTTTGAACGGCTTGTTTCAAATATACCTCATTGGTACGTGTAGAAAACAGAACGGGTTTTGGGTAACCCGACCTATCCACTAGCTCCAAAATGAAAAGAAGTTATTCTCTGGTTATTAATTGTGCTATATATTTTTTAATATATTTATAAGCTCATATTTGTATATATTTTTAATTAATTTTATATTTATATTTTTACATAATAAAAATAAATAAAAATAAAATTATGGCATTTTTAATAAAATAAATAGAAAATATATTTAATTAATTTCTAAACTAATTTTAATTAAATTGAAATTTTTTCTAGCAATCTACAGGTGGTTGACAAGCTTCGCGTTTCAAGCCATTCCATCTTAAAATATTAAAAAAAATTTTTTTATAAAATATACAATACCGAATCTCATTATAAGATACACCAATGAGATAGAAAAATTGTCTCGTATAATAAGGTATACCTTAAATAGAGGAGATCGCGCATGCCAGGCACCTTTTCCATAAATCAACCAATTTTGGAAAACGTCTATTAAATAGTAGGATTGTTCCCCGACGGAAAGCGGGAGGGCCAGGGGAAGATTATCGAGGAGACAGCGCCGTCAATACTAAAGCTGCATCCCAATTTAGGATATTTTCTGAAATTTTGTTGGCCAATAAGCGGGGGAGGTTGGTTTTCTAGGTTCCGGTTTTTTAAAATACCCTCATCAACTATCTTATAATGAATTCTCTTTCACAACCTCATTCCATAAGGGCACTTTTTTCTTCCCAAAGCATCCCTAACAGCCCTGCATTCACTCAAAATATTGCTAAAAGCATTGGTTTTCTCGTTCAATTTTAATTTTTGTTGATTTGTGTTGTTATCAGAATGCCAAATTTTTTGAATTTTTATTGTTGGTTCTTTTAAAATTAATTTTATTTGAAGAAAATATTCGGACCTCGAATTTATATACGCCCTAGGGCCGAAATCGTAGCTTATAGTGAGCTGTATCTAGTATTGAGGTGTATGTTAAATAGAGGGTATCTAATACTGGGTGTATCTTAAATAGGGGTTAGGTATCTTATAATTAGTGTATCTTATGGTCTCTTATATTGAGCGTATTTTTAATAGAGGTATCTTATAATGAGGGTATTTTAAATAGAGGTGTATTAATTTTGAGTGTATCCAGTATTGGAGGTATATAAATTCGAGGTCTCAACTAATTAAAAATAAACTTTTTTTGCCACAAGGAATCGTTTCTTTAGGGCATTTTCTAATGTCTTTAGACTCTCTACACTTTAAATAACGATGCCGCATTTCTGCAGCAGTTTCAGAATTTAGGCATTTAGACCAATGAGTCCACGTTTCTTCTTCTTTAGAAGTTTTATTTTCTAATTTTTCGTCAATTGGGGAGTCGTAAAAACGTCGTTGTTCGTTCGATGTTGAAGGCAGTAATTTTTGTTGGGGAGTGTCCAAATCTAGATAAATCATAAATTCTACATTTTGCTCTTCGGGAACAAAAACGTCTGATTGAGTATGTCTACTTTCTGAGTTCATTAAACAATTCTAAAAATTATTTAAGAAAATAGAGGAAAACCTCAACTATAAGATACACCCTTGAAGGCGAAAAAATAGTCGCTTATAATGAGGTGTGTGTTAAATAGAGGGCATTTTTAAATGAGATATTAGTATGAAGGTATATTTTAGGGCCTTGACTCACCTTATAGTGAGCTTTGCAGGTATCTTATAGTGAAGTTTTTAAATTTAATTCCCCGTCTAAAATTTACCTGTTCTTGATCTGAGGGGTAAAACATCAAAGATTTACAAGTAAATCCATAATCAGCAGAAGCAGACAAACAGGCTTTTAAACATTCTGATAATGAACCAGCATTAGAGACTTCTTGAACATGTCTGAAATATATTTTTTAATGATATAGTCGAGCCTCTCGCCTCTAGTCGAACAGAAGGAAAGGAAAATGGGGGGAGATAACGGAAGAATACCAGATAATCTCATCTGGCTTACCCTCTATTTAATATACACTCACTATAAGAGACTCTTTACAGCCCCAAGGCACATACATAAGTGAGGTTCGACTAATCTTCTAAAAATATTATCAGTAAGAAATTGTTTACCCAACAAGAATATATCCAGGTATAGCTTCAAAAGTTCGTCGACTTTCATCATTCAATATATTCTTATCCACACAAACTTTTTCATAATATTTGGCATTTTCTGTTGCAGTAGACGGTAAAAAGGTCAACAGACTTTGTGGAGATATAATTTGCGTAGAAAAATTGCTAAATAATTCACAGCCTTCTGTTGTTGTCCATTGGGCAGAATTACTAAATATGTAACAAATTTTAAAAACCTCCTTATAAGATACCCCTTTAGGGTTGAAAAGTCGTAGCTTATAATGGGGTGTATCTTAAATAGAGGATATTGCTTAGGCAGCTACTCGACCCAATGACCAGCCATATTTAAAAAACGTCTCTTAAAGAGAGCTGTATCTAATATTGAAGAGGGGGTGGGGTATTTTATAGTGAGGTTTTCTATACAAGATACAGACAGAAACGAAACCTCTATTTAAGAGACACTACTTAAAATTTGGTTGGCCACTGGGAGGAAGAGCTGTCCAAGCGCTATCCTCTATTTAATAAACACCCCATTATAAGAGTCAATTTTTCCAACCCAAGAGGGGGTCTCTTAAAGGGGAGGTCAAACAATATCAATTACCAAGTTGTTTTTGTCTGTCCATCACAAATATCCAAACAATCTCTCGAATTCTTTATATCATTTATTTTTTCTATTTTCCCATTGTTTTTTCTTTGTATTTTTCCTTCAATTTCAGCATAATAGGCTATTTGTCCTATTTTTGGGCAGACATTATTTGTTGATATTTTTTGTTGTTTAATTATGGGTCTTTGGATTAGTTGAGGTTTGTCCACATTTTTGTTAAGTTGAACGTCTTTTTGAGGCTTTTTAAAATATACATAAGGTTAGGTCTTGGATTCAGGCACTTGTGTGGATAACAGAGGGGGGGGGGAGGGAGGGGGTGTACGGACAACCGTCTTGCGGACAACTCTTGCGGATGTTTTTTGCGGACATTTTTTGCGGACATTCTTCACTGACTTTTTACGGACTTTTATTGCCTACTTTTCTTCCGGACTTTTTTTCCGGACATTTTTCTGGTCCGCAAAATAAATCCTCAAAGGTCCCTCACTCTACC